CTCTGAGTTCAAGGCCAGCCTGGGCTACCAAGTGAGTTCCAGGAAAGGCGCAAAGCTACACAGAGAAAAAACCCTGTCTCGAAAAACAAAACAAAACAAAAGTCTCAATGAAAACACAGGAATAAAAAGTGATCAGAGAGATGGCTCAGTATTAGGAGCACTGGCTGCTTTCGCAGAGGTCATAGGTTCAATTTCCAGCACCCACATGGTGGTTCACAACCATCCCTAACTCCAGTTCCAGGGGCTACAATGCCCTCTTCTGACCTCTATAGGCATCAGACATGCAGGCGATGCACATACATACATGCAAGCAAAACACACATAAAATGAATAAATCTAATTTAAAAATTTTTGAAGACTAGCCAGGCGGTGGTGACGCACGCCTTTAGTCCCAGCACTCGGGAGGTAGAGCCAGGTGGATCTCTGTGAGTTCCAGGCCAGCCTGGGCTACCAAGCGAGTTCCAGGAAAGGCGCAAAGCTACACAGAGAAACCCTGTCTCGAAAAAAAAACAAAACAAAACAAAACAAAATTTGAAGACTTGTTCTTTGAATTAAGCCACAGGAAGCGGGGGCGGGGGTGGGGCCCTCGGGGAGCGTGTGCTGACCTGAAGAGATGGCTCAACAATTAAGAACATTGGCTGCTCTTCCAGAGGGCCTGGGTTCTATTCCCAGCACCCACTGGTGGCTCACACCCTCTTCTGGCTCCCTTGAGTACTGCATACATGTGGTGCACAGACATACATGCAGACATACAAGACCCATATACACAAAATAAAAATGAAAAGTCAAAGCTGAAAGATGCTGCTCCAGGTAACAGTGACAGCCATGGACGTGTCTAGGCACCAATCCCGCACAGCACTCTGGAGGTCTCATGGACTCGAAGGTAAGCCTTTCAATGGAAGTAGGGAGGAGGCGTGGCTTGAGTCTTGGGCAGCCCTGTCACTGTTCCTGATGTAGTGTGGGAGTGGTAGACGGAGGGAAGGGAAGAGAAGGTGCAGGAAGGAGAGAAGGGGCTGAACAGTTGTGCCAGCCCGGAGTGGTGAATGAGTGCAGGAAAAAGGAAAAAAGAGAAAGAAAAACCGCTGGGCACAAAAATGAAAAGAACATAAAAGATGTGTGCTGGGGATTTTTACAGACCTAGCCCTGTCTGTTCCAGTCCCTCACCCCCTCCACACCTTGTTATGCTTTATGCAAATACAGACAAACACATATATTATAGAACGTAGCCTTTTCAGAAAGATAACAAAAAAAAAAAAAGAGAGAGGAGAGAGAGTGTGGACGGCGGCGCACGCCTTTAATCCCGGCACTCATGTGGCAGAGGCAGGTGGATCTCTGAGTTCGAGGCCAGCCTGGTCTAGAGAGTTCCAGGACAGCCAGGACTACAACAGAGAAACTGTGTCTCAAAAACAAACAAAAGAGGCGAAAGAGGAGAGGAGGAAGGGGTGGGGGCGGTGAGGAAGAGGAAGGGACAGGGACAGAAGTTACAATGCAGTGCTAGGAAAGCAGAAGAGAAGGACAAGTTGGTTGAGCCCGTTGTCCCAGGCAGAGAGTGACCATCACTTGTTGTCTCTCCTCACTGTGCCCGGGGAGCATCAGCCATATTTTTAGGCAAGAATCCTAAGTGCCAAAACCCGCCCACAGGACAGGACCAGAAACTATGGGAATGCTGGGAATGGGTAGTGAGGAGAAAGCCAAAAAGCAGGGGACTCCACACTCAACAGACCCTGAGGCAGCTGGTGATGTTTAACAGAATAATTCCATGCATCAAAAAACAAAACCCAAACAGCTGGTCATGGTGACCCATGCCTTTTCTTTCTTTCTTCCTTCCTTCCTTCCTTCCTTCCTTCCTTCCTTCCTTCCTTCCTTCCTTCCTCCCTCCCTCCCTTCCTCCCTCCCTCCCCACCCCCTCCCTCCCCACCCCCTCCTTTCTTTTTTTTTTTTTTTTTTTTTTTTTTTTGGTTTTTCAAGACTGGGTTTTTTTCTGTATAGTTTTGGTGCCTGTCCTGGATCTTGCTCTATAAACTCACAGAGATCCTCCTGGCTCTGCCTCCCGAGTGCTGGGATTAAAGGCGTGCTCCACTATTGCCTGGCTTGGTCACCCATGCTTTTAATTGGGTGAATTAAATCAGAAGTCAGAGGCAGGTGGATCGATACAATTCATTCAAGGTCAGCCTGATCTACACGGTGAGTCCCAGGCCAGTTAAGGCTACAAAGCGACACTCTGTCTCAAAAGTCAAGTCAGAGAAGGAAGTAAGACCAAGTAGAAAAGTATAGGCTAAAACTATAGTTAGATGAGGAAAAGTAACAGGAGGCTAAGTGAAGCAGAGGCAGGAGAGAAGGCTGGGAAGGCTGAGAATAGTTGACTTCACAAGGGATCTCTGCAGAAAGAGAACAGTGAGCCACTACAGTATATCAAAGCAATTATACCCCTGAACCAATCCAGAGTACACTGTCCCAGGAACCCCAGTCCAGCCTTCTGCTGCTCAAGAACCTTGGGACCAGGTGTCTGGTAGTTTTGTTTGGTGGACAAGGTATTCTGGGAGAAATCAGTTAGAGGGAGACGCTAAAGGAACTATGGAAGGCTGCCTAGAGGAGGTGAGGCTTGGGCAGAGGGAGCAGTGTTCAGATATTATGCACCATGCCTAGCTCTGTTGCTGAACTATGCTTCTCCGGGTGGGTATTTGTTCATCTATCAATTATTTAGTGAGTATGTACTCTATGCTAGCTGTGGTGCTGAGTAGAGGTGACCAAAGCAGACAGATGGGATCTCCTGTCTCGATCACAGTGATTCTCAATCTGTGGGTTTTAGGGTTGGGGGTCACCAACCTCAATCTGAGGGGCTGTATTAAATGGTCACAGCAGGCTGGAGAGATGGCTCAGAGGTTAAGAGCACTGGCTGCTCTTCCAGTGGACCTGAGTTCACTTCCCAGCAACCACATGGTTGACAAGGTAAGACCTGGTGCCTTCTTCTGGAGTGCAGGGACACATGCAGACAGAACACTTATACATAATAAATAAATAAATCTTTAAAAGCATGTGCTACCACCGCCCAGCTCACACTTGGGTTTATAAATAAATAAATAAATAAATAAATAAATAAATAAATAAATAAATAAATAAATAAATATTAACAGCATTGGGAAAGTGGAGAACCACCGCTCTATCAAGATTGCTGTCAACTGGCAGGCATGGTGGTGCACGCCTCTAATTGCAGCACTTGGGAGGCAGAGGCAGGTGGCTCCCTGTGCCTTAGAGGCTAGCCTGGTCTACCAACAGTTCCAGGATAGCCAGGGCTACATAGTGAGACACTCTTTCAAAAAGACAAAAAAAAATAGCTGGGAAGTGGTGGGGGTAAGCCTTTAATCCCCGCCCTCAGGAGGCTGAGGCAGGCAGATCTCTGTGAGTTCGAGGCCAGCCTGGTTCTCAGAGCAACCTGAATAGCCAGGGCTACAAAGAGAAACCCTGTCTTGAAAAACAAAACAACAAGATTGCTGTTGTTGGAGCTGGGAGTGCAGCACAGCTTGAATCCTGACCCTTGGAGGGACAGAAGCTAAGTCTGAGTTAGATGTCAGCCTGGTCTAACTCGGAGAGCGACAGCTGCTCAGTGAGACCCTTGCAAAAAAAAAAAAAAAAAAAGATTAAAATAACTGTCAGCCATAGTGTTTATTGGGGAAGGAGAAGCACCACACCGCAGGAGCCCCTTTTATTGGCTTGGGTTTGTTTCGTTTGTTTGGGTGGGAAGTAGTTGGCTGAGGCAGGGTCTCAAGCTGCCCGGGTAGTCTTCCGGGTCTGAACTTCCTATGTAGCTGAGGATGACTGAACTCCTGATCTTCCTGCCTACATTTTCCAAGTACTGGGTTTGCAAGTGTGTTCCGCCATGCCTGGCTTCTCAAAGCAATCTTTTTTTTTTATTTTTTTTTTAACATTTTAATTTTAAATTTTTTTAAATTAGAGTGTATTTATTTTATTTGTATTTAGAGTATAATAAATTTGTATATAAATATAATTACTATATTAAATGTGGTCAAATACTCAAAAAAGATGATTACTATTATTATATGTGTGTTCCTCATTCCTGAACTTTTTTTTACATTTTTATTTTTTTACTTTTTTAATAATACTCTTTATTTCTAACGTTTGTACTTAATTACCAATATGAAGTGTTAGACATTATGACACTAACAAAGTATTTTAGTGATTACTCCCATTTCCCCTGGGAGCCCCACTCGCTCAGTCTCAACAATCTTAAAGGCAGGTCTTTTTTTAATTTTTTCTTAATGATTTACGTGCATTGGTGTTCTGCCTGCATGTATGTGTGTGTGAGGTGTCAGATCCCCTAGAGGTAGTTTGTGAGCTGCCATGTGGGTGCTGGGAATTGAACCCGGGTCCTCTGGAAGAACAGCCCGTGCTCTTAACCGCTGAGCCATCTCTCCAGCCCCAAAGGGCAGGTCTTTTTTGTTATTATTCTTTGATTATTTTGTTTTCTGCTGAAAGTCAGTTTGTCTTGCTTTGCTCTTTCCTGTGCAAATACAGAAGTCGGTCGAATTTTAACGTATCCTTTTAAAAAATGCGTACGATGTTCATTTTTATTCTGCCACAGAAATTTGAATCTGGGGTTTGATTTGTTCTCGGGCGGTCACGCGTTGAGTAATGGTGAGAGGTTGCTTTCTGAGCACGGAAACTGCACGCGGTCTATGAGTTCCTGTCTCCCGCTGAGTCTGGCTCCACCAGGGCTCCTTCCCGGCGTCCCTACGAATGCTTCTGGAACCTTCCTTTCTGTGCTAAAGGCTGGTGCTAATGTATGTTCCTCGATGGAAAAAAACTGAGGAGGTGCAGCGTGGGGCATCGATTTAAGAAGCTTTAATCGTGTTTCCTACAAACCAAGAGAACCGCGTGGAGCCTCTGCAGGGACGTGCTTTGCTACTTCCACTACCCAGGTCGGCTTTACCCCTGGGGGCGGGGCCGGGGGAGGAAGTCCCGCCCCAGGCACGCCCCGGCTTCCGCTTTGGGCGGCGCTGCTGGTGTCCGCCGCGGCGTCCCGCGTGGAAGATGGCTGCCGCCGGAGACCTTGGCGGTCCTGAAAGCTACCGTTCCCCGCTGGCGTCCCGCTACGCCAGCCCCGAGATGTGCTTCCTGTTCAGCGACAGGTACAAGTTCCAGACGTGGCGGCAGCTGTGGCTGTGGCTGGCGGAAGCTGAGCAGGTAACTTAACTGGCCGTGCCCCGTGTCGCGAGGGAGGTCACAGCCCGAGCACCTGTTGCCTCGGCAACCGTCCCAGAGACCTGCATGCACATCCTTTGGAGGATTTCAGGTTTGGGAGCTCGTTTCCTTCCACGGCACAGTCCAAGCCATGGAAACTTTGCAGGCTCGGGGGGCGGAGGGGGCCAAGCCTGGCGAAGTGAGTTCGAGCCCCGGGACGACGTAGTGGAAGGCGCGAACTGGCTCCCACTAGTTGTCGTCTGACCTCCACACGTGCACACTCAAACACACACAAAATAAATAAATTAAAAAAAAAAATTTTAACTGCGTAGCAAACTTGATGGTGGTTTTCCCCACCTTAAAAAAAAAGATGTATTTTTATTTTTGTGTATAAATGTTCTGCCTTCGCGTGTGCATCTTCACCACGCACCTACCTGGTTGCCAGGACAGGGAACTGATTAATAGCCTGTTGTAAGCTGCCACGTGGGTCCTGGGAACTGAACCCCGGCCCTCCCCAAGTGCTCCTAACCACTGAGCCAATAGTTCCGGGCCATAATTTTTCTTCTTGTGGGGCGCAAAACCAAGTCTGTAGGGAGCAAGGTTTGCCCCAGGCTACCCAGCTAGCTCCTGACAGCAGAGCTGGGATTTGAACCTGGATCCCGTCCAGAGCCTGAGCTGAGCCCTTGCCAACGCTTCCATCTTCCTAGGCGCCTTTGGAGTTAGTGACAGTTTTGGAATCTGTTTCTTGGCTGCTTTTGCCACTTTTGTGTGTGTGTTTTGCTCTGAGAAGAGAGGGTCTGGGCAGGTGTTTACTACAGAGGATTCGGGGGTTTGTGGGGTTGTTTTTTGGTGGTGTGGGTTTGATTTTGGGGTGTTGGTTGGTTTGTCTGCCTTTTGAGATAGCATCTCACTGTGTAGCATGGCTGGCCTGTGGCCGGCCTCACACGCACAGAGATCGGCCTACCGCTGCCTCCCAGGTGTGAGATTAAAGGGGTTCAACAACACAGCCGCTTTAATAGTTTCTCTTAGAAGGACCACATGTATAATTGTTCAGGCCAGTACCCCCCACCCCCAGACAGTTTCTCTGTGTCGCCATAGCTGTCCTGGAACTCACTCTGTAGACCAGGCTGGCCTTGAACTCAGAGATCCACCTGCCTCTGCCTCTGCCTCTGGGACTAAAGGAGTTCGCCACCACTCCCTGGCCTCAGCCTAGTATTTTAAAAAATGGATTGGGGAAGAGGTTTTCCAGAGAAGGTGAAGGAAGCGGAAGGTGATCCAGAGAGCTGTAATGCTTCTCACGTTTAAGAGCCTGTTAGCAGTGTGCTCCCCAGAACTCAGTGCCTCGGGAACCACGTCCATCCTGCACTCCCTGTCCACCCCCTCCACTGTGCTTCCAAACATCCACTCAGAGGATGGCAGCAGACATTTCTCCAGTGCCTTCTGGCCCCGGCACTGCTTTAAGGCCTTTTCTGGTCGTCTAATAGTCCTTAAACATGTATAAATTGTGTGTATTCTTCTCCCCACTTAAAAGGAAAAGGAAAGCTGTGGGGCTGGGGAGGTGGCCCCAGCACAGCAGCTGAGGGCTTGTGCTGCTCCTGGAGCGGACCTGGGTTGAGTTCCCTGAACTCATGTCAGGTAGCATACAGCCAGCTGCCTGTCACACCAGCTCCAGGGGCTCCAACACACACACACACACACACACACACACACACACACACACACACGCGCACACGCACGCGCACGCACGCGCACGCACGCGCACGCACGCACTCGCACACACGCTCACACGCTCATCCACTCACTCATGTACACGTGTATGTGTACACGTAATAATCACATCATTTCTCCCTTGCCTCTCCCCCCTCCCTCCTCTCCCATGTAACCCCCACACACACCTTACTCTTTCCCAGAATGCATCGCCTATTTTCTTTAATAGTTGTTGTTGGTGTATGTGTTCTAAATATATACAAACAACCTGCTCAGTCTGTATAATGTTACACGTGTGTATATTTCCTGGGCTGACCATTTGGTGTTGGATCATCCAGAGGAAGACTATTCTGCTCTCAGCATCCCTCAGTTGGCTGTAGTTTTTGGTCTAGGGTTGAGGCCTCCTGAGCTTCACCCCTTCCCAGTTAGCATGGCTATTGGTGTCAGCCTTGTTCAGGTCTTGCTTAGGCAGCCACATTAGTGAGGTTTCATGGGTATGGTGTCTCTGACATTTCTAGGAGACACAATTTCACAACAAACCCCCTTTTCCTCTAGTTCTTATACTCCTTCCTTCCTTCCTTCCTTCCTTCCTTCCTTCCTTCCTTCCTTCCTTCCTTCCTGTTTATCTATTATGTATACAGTGTATACATAATAGATAAATCTGGTAAAATAGATAAATAGATATGTATACATAATAGATAAAATCTGGTGCCCTCTTCTGCAGGCCAGAAGAGGGCACCAGATCTCATTACAGATGGTTGTGAGCTACCATGTGGTTGCTGGGAATTGAACTCAGGACCTCTGGAAGAGCAGCCAGCGCTCTTAACCTCTGAGCCATCTCTCCAGCCCCTCTTGCAGTCTTTCTGACCTACCTCCTGCCATGAGCTCTGAGCCTTGTGTGCAGTTATGCTGTAGATGTTTCAACTGGGACCGGGCTTCACAACTGTTTGGATAGGTTGTAGTTCTCTGTAGTGGTCTCAGTGCATCAAGAGAAGTTCCTTTGGTGAGGGGTGAGACCCACACTTGCCTGTGGGTGTAAAGACAAATATTTAGAATCTAGTTTACGGATTATGCTGGTTTAGTAAGTGGCCATCGGAGGTTCTCCAAGATCCATGACTTCACTTGCCTGGGTAGTTGGCTACGTTTCCAGAACCCGGCATGAGTTCCCTTCTGTTTGAGCAGGCCTTAAGTCCAATTGTAGAGCTGTTGGTTATCACCAAGAAATGCCTATGACTACTGCACCCTTATTGTGCCATGATTCATGGGCATCATGGTTGGGTAGGACTGTTGGTTGCTTTCTGTCTTTGGAAGTTTGTGTGGTACCTTCTGGTTATACATAGTTTTTGTTTGTTTGTTTGTTTGTTTGTTTTTTAATCTTTTAAAAAATTGTTTCTTGCTGGGCAGCGGTAGCAAATGTCTTTAATCCCAGCACTCGGGAGGCAGAGGCAGACAGAACTCTGAGTTCAAGGCCAGCCTGGTCTACAGAGTAAGTTCCAAGACAGCTAGGGCTATGCAGAGAAATCTTGTCTTAAAACACTGTCCCCCCAAAATAATGTTTCTTGTAAAAGCTATTTATATTAGCTTATCAATTTTTTTTAATTACATAGGATAAGTATTTTTCTTTTATTTTATTGTTCCTGTGAGGAAATGAAGCATTAAACTATTGGTTCCCTAGCAATAGAGAGTAGGCATGCATTGTGCTCTGTGATGTAGTTTTCTCATTCATTGATACCAATATCATGTAGATAAGGGTGGGAGCATGCAAGCTGTTGCCAGGAGTCACCATGGCTTGTAAGTGGCCTCAAACTGAAACTGGAGTATAAGATTTATCTGGTCTGTAAATTGCTTGGAGCATACATAGCTGTAGGTGTAGATTATCTGTTAGAGCATCAGATTAATAGCAAAAGCAGGTGTGGTGACCCACACCTTTATTAAAGGTTTATTTATTTATTTATCTTTTTTACGTGTAGTTACGTGTCAGCATGTGGATATGTGCACGTGTGAGTGCAGGTGCCAGCAGAGACCAGAGGATCCCCGGAGCTGGAGTTACAAGTGGTTTTGAGCAGGATGTAGATGCTGGGAACCAATGTCAGGTCCTCTGCAAGAGCAGTAAATGGTCTTAACTGACGAACCATCTCCCCAGCCCCAGCACATGTCTGTGATCCCAGCAGGGAGGCAGGAGGAGGTGAATTTCTGAGTTTGAGGCCAACCTCATCTATATAGCAAGCTCCAGGCCAGCCAGAACGCACTGAGTCTCTGTCTAAAAAAAAAAAAAAAAAGCATACATTCTGTACTAACTGGTTGAGTTGGAGAAGTGATGAGGAGCTGGACTTTCTTGGAATAGGTTCTCTCCTTCTACCTCTTCATGAGTTCCGGGCTTTCCTTGCAAGGACTTCGCAGCTGAGCCATCTCCCCAGCCTCTGATAGTTTCCCTTTGGAGACAGTGTTTGACGTGAAGTCAGGATCCTTCTGCTTCTCCTTCCCCAGTGCTAGGACCATGGCATGAATCGCACTAAGCCCAACATTATGGAGTCGCTCATTTTAGTTGCTCTAAGCACATCTGAGTCAGGTGGAAAGCCACCACACTTTGTCTGCGCACTTAGTGTCCTGACTGAGGATTGAGTAATAATAAATAGAACAAAGGTCTCTTCTCATGCAGTATCCCTTCAAGAGAGCTGAATAGGTTAATTAAATGTGTGACGATGTCATGCAGTCACAGGTGTGCTAAATGAAAGCAGGCTAAAGGAACAGCATTGACACAGGATGTTTCACGGGACATTAGCGAGGCCTTTCTTGATGACATTTGAGCCCAGAGACTAGAACAAGAGAGGCAGGAGTTGTCAACATCAGGACTCTGTTGCTTCCTGTTTGGGATTTTTCTTAGAAGATTCCTCCACACCTCTTTCCAGAACCCATACGTTTGAACTTGTTGCCCCAGGTTTTAAATGAAGAGTTACTTCTTTTCACGCACTTGAACATGAAGGTCCCTGGACTTTGTTTTGCCTGTTCTGCAGACCCTGGGTTTGCCTATCACAGATGAACAGATCCAGGAGATGAAGTCCAACCTGACCAACATCGACTTCCAGATGGCGGCCGAGGAAGAGAAGCGTCTGAGGCACGACGTGATGGCTCACGTGCACACGTTCGGCCACTGCTGTCCGAAAGCTGCGGGCATCGTTCACCTCGGGGCCACCTCCTGCTACGTCGGGGACAACACGGTACGAGCCTCTGCACTTGGTCCTTGGATTTATGTCCTTCATAATAGTTGTGCATTCTTAATTCTCCGAACTTACCCAGGGCCCTCGTGACTGCTGTTGGCTTCTGAAAAGAGAGGGTAGTATTGCATTTGTCCTTTAATAGCCCTGGCTGTCCTGGAACTCACTCTGTAGACCAGGCTGGCCTCAAACTCACAGAGATTGGCCTGCCTCTGCTGGCCGAGTGTTGGGATTAAAGGCCTGCACCACCACCACCACCTGGCCTTTTTTTTTTTTTTAATAGTATTTATTTTATGTGTTTGGGTGCTTTGTGTGAATATCTGTGTACCATGTATGTGCGGTGCCGTTTTCAGTTTCTTAAACCTTCATGTTCTAGATCTTGCCTTCCTGTGCTAACGAGTATAGATGAACAGGGCAAGGTGATTTAAACCTGTAATCCCAGCACTCGGGAGGCAGAGGCGGGTGGATCTCTGTGAGGATAAGCCCAGCCTGGTCTACATAGTGAGTTCTATGACAACTAAGGATACACAGAGAAACTTTGTCTCAAATAAATAAATAAAAAGGTGAGAAAAAGTAGGGAGAATACTGATGGAATGTGCTGTATAAGAAAGATGAGCCAGACAGTGGTGGCGCATGCCTTTAATCCCAGCACTCAGGAGGCAGAGACAGGCGGATCTCTGTGAGTTCGAGGCCAGCCTGGTCTACAAAGTGAGCTCCAGGAAAGGTGCAAAGCTTACACAGAGAAACCCTGTCTCG